GTCTCTTCTGACAAATCTTGGCTTGAAGTCTGCTTTGTTAGAAATGACTATAGCTACTCCTACTTGCTTTGGGCTACATTTGCTTGGAAAATCTTTCACTTTGGAAATTCTTTCACTTTAAACCTGCATTTTTCTTTGCCAATGAAGTGTGTTCCTTTTAGGCAACAAATGGTCTGGTCTTATTTTTTAATCCAGCCCTCCAGTCCATGTCTCTTTTTTTTGGTGGGGGAGGTGTCTGGGGTTTGAACTCAGGGCTTTGTGCTTGCAAAGCAGATACTCTACTTCTTGAGCCATGCCTCCAGTTCATTTTGGTGTAGTTATTTTGGAGAAAGGGTTTCTCAGACTATTTGCCTAGCTGGACTTGAACTGCAATCTGCCCAATCTCAGCCTCCCAAGTAGCTAGGATTACAGGTATAAGCCACAGACACCAGGCTCAGCCATGTCTTTTGATTGGAGAATTGAGACATTAACATTCAGAATTACTATTGGAAGGTATGTAGGAATTCCTGCCATTTTGTTGTTTCTATAGTGTTTTATTCTTCTTTCCTTACTTTTCATTTGCTTATCTACTCATCTAATAAGAATTCTTCTTTCCTGTATTTTCCTGGTTGTGTTTATCTTTCTCTTTTCTGTGTAGGATACCTTTCAGTATCTTCTGCAGTGCTGGTCTAGTGGTTTTGAATTGCTTTAGTTTTTGTTTATTATGGAAGGTTTTTATTTCTTTGTCAATGAAGGACCACTTTGCTGGATACAGTGATCGAGGTTGGCAGTTATTTTCTTTAGGGCTTGAATACATCATTCCATGCCCCCCTTGTTCTTAAAATTTCTGTTGAAAAACCTGCTTTTATTCTGATGGGTTTGCCTTTGTTGATGACTTGGCACTTTTCTCTTGCACCTTTCAGTATTCTTTCCCTATTCTATATGCCTAATGTTTTAGGATGTGAGGAGGTTCTTTCTGGTTTTGTTTGTTTGGTATCCTAAAAACCTCCTGTACCTGAATGACCATCTCTTTCTCAAAAATTGGGAAGTAGTTTGCTATTATTTTATTGAATTTGTTTTCTGTGCCTTTAGCTTGTACTTCATCTTCTATGCCCATGATTTGGTCATTTAAAGGTGTCCCAGAGTTATATGTTCTGTTTGTACATCTTTAGTTTTTTTTCCTTTATCTTCACCTGCATAATCTAACACATCTTCCTTATCTTCAAGTCCTGATATTCTGGCTTCAATTTTTTCCTATACTAGAGAGTTTCAGATTAATTCTTTATTTGATTTATTGAGCTTTTCATTTCCAGAATTTATTTTGATTTTTTCAGAATTCCTATATCTTTACTCAATCTTGTTTCATGTCCTTCATTATGTTCTTTATTTCATGCAGCTGTTTGAGTTAAACAGCTCATTTTTATAATCTTTGTATTCTCTGTCTGATATTTCATTCACTTCACTATTGTTAGTGTTTGTTACTGTGGAGTTGTTGAGTTTTGAAGGAGTCGTGTTGCTTTTTTTCTAAATGTGTGTGTGTGAGAGTGTGTGTGAGTGTGTGTGTATGTGAGAGTGTGTGAGTATGTGCATGTGAGAGTGTGTATGTGAGTGTGTGAGAGAGTTTGTGTGTGTATATGTGTGTGTGTGTACATCTGAGGCCAGGTCATTGGTTGGAAGTTTTAATTATCTGTAGTCTTCAAGTTGAAATATTCTGTGTTCAGATACTGGCCGGTTTGAGATATTATTTCTCACCACTGGACTGGGAATATGGTCATTAGCCAAGCATTCACCCACACGCTCAGGGCACCAGATCTTATCTCCAGAACTCTCAGGTTAAGAACAACTAGCTGGAGTCTTTTTTTTTTTTTTCTTTTATTCATATGTGCATACAATGCTTGGGTCATTTTTCCCCCCTTCCTCCCACCCCCTCCCTCACCCCTCCTACCCCCTTGCTACCAGGCAGAAACTATTTTGCCCTTATCTCTAATTTTGTTGAAGAGAGAGTATAAGCAATAATAGGAAGGACCAAGGGTTTTTGCTAGTTGAGATAAGGATAGCTATACAGGGACTTGACTTGCATTGATTTCCTGTGCATGTGTGTTACCTTCTAGGCTAATTCTTCTTGAACTAACCTTTTCTCTAGTTCCTGGTCCCCTTCTCCTATTGGCCTCTGTTGCTTTAAAGTATCTCCATTAGTTTCTCTGCATTGAGTGCATCAAACTAACTAGAGTGTTGTAGAAGAGTTAGTCCTCTGCTTTTTGGGCTGCCTTCACTATAGGAAGCTTCCCTTCTTTGTGTACTGCAAGTCTGCTGGTCACAGGGGCATTATAAGCCTGTAGGTGGCTATGTTCCCACTTGTTCCACAAGCCCCCTAGTTGTGTCTGCAGAGATAGCAAGTACCAGAGCCTGGAGGGGAGTGACCCCCTAATGTCTCAGAGTGTTGGGGGAGCAAACAGAACACTGAGTTCTGCAGTGGCATGGGCAGATCTTACACTCTGCCTGTCCTAGTGCTTTCAGACCCCTCCCATCAGTTCACCTCCCTCTGTGGGGAAGCTGTGGAAGTCTGTGATTTGGACTTGGGGCCTTCTGACCCACATGGCAGCAACTCAGTGCTTTCAGACCCCACCATCCAGCAGTTCACCTACCTATGGGAGGGAGGAGGCTTTGGAAATCTTGTGATTCAGAAGACCTGGTCTTGCTGTTCTCAGTCCCATGTGGCAGCCAACACACCTATCCAAGAGAAGGACCTGGAGCCTTAATACTGTGTCAGCCACAGTCTTGGTGTTTGGTTTCTGCTGCGATCCTAAGGTGATAGGACTCTGCTCACCAGGGAAGCATGGAGGGAGTAGGGGATCTGACTACCAGGTCCTGACCTCCTGGAGCTCCCTCCTTTGGTTCCATGTCAGACCCTCTCCTCTATAACCACCTTTCGTGGCCAGCTGCCACCCAGATTCTGTGTCAGGGTGTCCCAAGACTACCTTAGCTGTGATTGTTCCCTGTTTTCAATCCCCCAGAATACCTCACTATCAATAGGCACCCCTCTCAAGATTTATGGTCCTCCAAGATGAGGAAATGCATATGTAGCTAGCATTATCTAGTTTACCTATTGATTGCATCTTAGGCTTTCCCTACCCTTCTAGGGGGGAGCCAGGAATGGTGCTTGGGACTGTTTTTTTTTGTTCTTTCTCTCTTCAAAATATAGTCTCTCCTTTGTTACCTGACCCTTCTCATTCACAGAGTCAAGAAAGAAAAGGCTTTTAATTTGCTATCTTGCCTTTACCAGCAACTTTGTATGGAGGGGTAGTGGAGCTGATGAATGGCTTAGCATATCAAGGATCTAAAAAGATCAAGGTTGAATGGTTGTAAACCAGGAAGCTTGGGAAAGAAGCAGCATACATATATAAGCTGGAACTATTTATAATGGTCAAACTAAAGAATCAGCCTAGATACTATCAACTGATGAATGGATAAAGAAAATGTGGTATTGTTGGAATTAATGACCTCTGGTGCCAAAAACAGACAAGAGACAGAAAATCTTGACAAGGCAATTTCTCTTGATCAAGAGGGTGCAAGCATGTGCTCACTCCCGCTAAGCAAACTCACAAGCACAAAATGGCTGACAGTGGCTGCTCCTTATATCCCTGACACAGTTGTACCTGCCCCTCACCTGGGATTTGTCCAGCTCAAAGGTTCACAATCTCCTTCTATTGGCTAAAAGGCTTGGGGGATGGGTTAGGGCATATAGTTGGTGGGCAATGGAGTTGTACAGGAATCTGGAAGAAGAAGCAAGGACCATTTAAACATGCATGGTGACCTGAGGAATTTTTAAGTATTCTAAGAGGATAACAAATACTTTGATAGAAAAGATCATTTTTCTTACAGTATGTATATACATTAAAGTATTATTCAGCCATAAAGAACACAATTATGTCATTTGCAGGAAAATGGATGAACTAGAGATCAGGATGTTAAGCGCAATGAGCCAGACTCAGACAAATACTGCATATTTTCTGTCATGTGGAATCTAGACCTAAAAAAATTGACAATGTAAGAGGGGGAGTGTTTGTGGAGGTGACCAGAAAAGGAGTAAGAGCAAGTGGAAAGGGTGATTGAGGTAAATATAATCAAAGTGCTTTATATGCATTATGAAAATAGAATAATGAAACCATTAAAAACTGTTTTAAGAAGGATAAGAAAGAGTAATAGAAGGGATGAATTTTATCAAAGCACATTATATGCACTATGAACATATCACAATGAAATCCCTTGTACAATTAATAGGCACTATAAAAAGAGACAATGACAGAGAAGAGAAAACACTACCACCACTACCACCACCACAACAAAACAAACATGAACTGAAAAGACAGAAATATGGTGGGATCCTGAAGTCTTTCATTGAGCATATATTTTTCTCCTTAAATAGATTACAGGAAATGTAAACCTTATTCAATAAATGGTAGTGATTCTTCTTAGAATAACCAATATATTCTGAATGTGCATGTGCTAGGTCCTTTGGCAAGAGGCTTATGTGGAACTTATGTGGAGCTAATCCTTATAACATCCTTAAGCTGTAGGTATTATCATTAATCTAATTTTACAGGAAGTTGAAGCTTAATGAGTTTAAGTAATTTTCTTAACATCATACAAGCTGATATAAAATGATGAGCTTTGCTGGACACTGGTGGCTCACACCTGTAATCCTACCTTACCAGGAGGCAGAGATCAGGAGGATCACAGTCCAAAGCCAGCCCAGGCAAACAGTTCCTCGAGACCCTATCTTGAAAAGACCCTTCACAAAAAAATGGCTGGTGGAGTGGTTCAAGCTGTAGGCCCTGAGTTCAAGCCCTGTACTAAAAAAAAAAGAAAATGATGAGCTTCAAATCAGCTCTGTTTAAAATTTTACATTTTTAAAATTTTACTTAGTCAGTGGCACTGGGATTTGAACTCATGCTTGCCAGACAAGTGCTCTATCACTTGAGCCATACCCTAAGACCCAATAAGCTTGATTAAGTAATTACCTGCCAGTTTTTGTTTAGTTTCAGTGGTTTGTGGGTGTGGTGGCATTGTGATAATGTTGGTCCTTTGGGTACAGTGACTAAAATTAGAGCCCTGTCCCAGCAGCAGGAAAAAAAAAACAAATAGACAAAAGAAAGTATAGTAGGGAAAGAGGCTTTTCTTAGAGGTGACCGAACATCCCTGAAGAGAGATGTAGGGTGGGCAGTTCAGAAAGTCTGACTGACTGCCTAAAATGCAACAGCATACCTTGAGGGAGAGGCGGGCAATTTAGGTAAGGACCTATCGCCCCAAGTAATTTGTTTAGGTCCTTTGGCCATGGGGTGTGGAAATCTGTTGGCCTGAATGCTTGGATCTGGACGTGTGGGTGGAGGACCATCCCCTTTTCTTTCTACCTGCCTATTCTAACATTTTCTCCACTGAAGATTTACTATGTTTTTCTTTTTCTTGATTTTCACTGAGGCAGGGTCTGTCTGTGTAGCCCAGACTGACCATGAACTCACTATCTTCCTGCCTCAGCCTTCTGAGAGCTGGGGATTGAACCCAAGGCCTTGTCCATGCTAGGCAAGCGCTCTACCACTGAGCTAAATCCCCAAGTTACTATATGTAATTTTAAAATAATAAGTATTTTGTGGATACTATATAAATTAGTGAGGCATCATTTTTTCACCTCGGTTTCAGCATCTGTATTAGTTTTCTGTGGCAACTGCAACAAATGACCACAAACTACGCAGCTTAAAACAACAGAAATTTATTGTCTCTCAGTTCTAGAACCTAGAAGTCTGAAATCAAGTTGGGGCTTAGCAGGACCACACACTCTGAAAATGGAGACTCTTCCCTTGCCTTTTCCAGTTTCTTATGGTATTCCTTGGCTTGTGGCCACATCACTCCAATCTCTATCTCTGTTTTCACATTGCCACCTGTATGTCTGCCTTTTTTTTGACCTGTATAAGAACATTTATCTTTGGGGATAGAGCCTAGCTGGTTGATCAAGGATGATCTCTTCTCAAGATCCATAACTTAATTACCTCTGCAAGTATCCTTATTCCAAACAAGGTAACATTCCCATGCTCTGAGGATTGGAACACAGACACACCTTTTGGGGAGGTATCAGTCAGCTCACTATAATATCCATTGTCTGAAGCAACTAATACTATGTTTACCAAATTGTGATTTAGACTCAGGGCTTCACACTTGCAAAGCAGGCACTCTACAGTTTGAGCCATGCCTTTAGTCAATTTGCTCTGGTTATTTTGGAGATGGAATCTCTTGAACTATTTGCCTAGACTGGTCTCAAAATGAGATCCTCCCGATCTCAGCCTCCCAAATAGTTGAGATTATAGGCATGAGCCACTGGTGCCTGGCTAGTCATTATTCTTCTTCAAGAAGGAACTTTTTATCCCTTGTTTATTTATTATTTGTTTATGTCAATATGAACTCATGGATTCTTTTTTTATTCAGTGGATTTGTGCAGTGAAGGATTAACTCAGCAGGTCCAGATTGTTCAAACTCTGCACATGCAAAGAAAGGTTTGGACCTTGCCTGGCTGTAGGGCTACAACTTTTAAGCACTTGGAATATTGTGCCTATTTTAAAATTATCTTCATTTAGAGCCAAGTGGGGTGGCACACACCTGTAATTCCAGCACTCAGGAGGCAGAGGCAGGAGGATCATGAGTTCAAGAGCAGCCTGGACTGCACAGTGAGACCCTGCCTCAAAAAACAACAACAACAACAACAAAACCCAAAATCAAACCAAAACAAAACAAATCATTGTTTAGTTGAGGTTTTGGGTCACGCCACATAGTTTATGCTAACCATGTAACTTATGATGGGGACTATGAGCCATGTGATATCAGCTGGACTACTAAAAGGCATGAAGAATTAAAGTCAGCAACAGGGGCAAGCAGCTATAATCATGTGAGTGACCCCCAATAAGAACCCTGGATATCAAGGCTTAGATGAGCTTCTGGTTGTGGTACTTCATGTGTGTTGTCAAACAGTATTCATGTCTTCATAGCTCCACTGAAAGAAGACACTGGAAGCTTGCACCTGGTCTCTGTTGTATTCTGCACTGTGTGCCTTCACTGCTGATTTCAATTTGCTGCTTTCTTTCATTGTAATGATCTGTAGCCATGAGTATAATAGTCCTCTGAGTCCTTTAGTTCTTGTAGCAAATCACTGAACTTGGGGGTGGTCCCCAAATATAGGATTATAATCTGCTACCACATATATTTATGTTGATGTTCAAATAGTCCCATAGATGGTTCATGAGCCAAATGTTTAATGACTTGAATGTGTCTTCACAATAAGGAGTCATAGAACCTTTTAAAGTCAGGTCTGTTGCCACACATCTGTAATCTCAGCATTTGAGAGGAGGAGGCAGGAGGATAACTAGTTCAAGGGCAGCCTGGGCTACATAATGAGACCCTGTCTCAAAAAATGAAAAAAAGCAGGCACACTACCACTTTAACCACTCTATTAGCCCCCCCAAAAGCCTTTTAAGCAGGAAGTGACTTGATCAATGCTATATAAAACATTCCCTAAGGTGGTTCATTAGAAAGAGCAAGGAAATGTGTTCTGCAGAGGACAACAAAAGCATCATTCTTCAGAGAGTTACACACACACACACACACACACACACACACACACACACACCCCAAGAAAAGAAAAAAAACCATTTTGCTACTGAGAATGGTTCCACCCTACACCTGTTGTCCTGGTTGTTTTTAAACACGAACCCCAAACCAAGGGTGGTAGAACCTCAGCTGTTCGTCATTTTCAGCCTCTTTCAGCTATGACTTAGGCCTAAACACTGAAGCAGACTCCCCCAACTTCTGGGGAGGGGACTGAGGCTAAAAGTTAAATTGATCATCAATGGCCAATGATTCAACAACCACACCTACATATTGCTTTTGTTTTTCTTTTGCGGGTCACTGGGGTTTGAACTCAGAGCTTTTTACACTTGCTATGCCTCCAGCCTCCAATCACACCTACATAATGAAGTCTCCATAAAGCACCCAAAGGACTGATCCTGAGAGCCTCCAGAACATGTTGGGGTAGGGTGGAGGGTGGGGAAGTTTTGGAGGTTGCCTTGCCTAGAGAGAGGACAGGAGCTTCGCACCTCTTATCCTGTATCTCTCTCTGAACATCTATTCATCAGTATCCTTTGTAAAATTCTTTTTGTTGTTGTTTGTTTGTTTGAGACAAAAATTCAGTGTGGAGCCCAGGCCAGCCCCAAACTTGCCACCCTCCTGCTTTAGCCTCCTGAGTGCTGAGATTACAGGTGCTCACCATCACACACTTTAGTATCTTTTATAAAAACAAGTAAATGAGTTTCTCTGAGTCTTGTGAGCATCCCTAGCAGATTAATAGAATACAAGGCGGAGTTATGGAAATCCCAATTTCTAGCTGGTCAATCAGAAGTCCCAAAGGCATCTGAAGTGCAAGCAATCTTATAAGGCTAAGCCTTGAACCTTACGGATTTGATGCTACCTACAGGTAGATTGGTGTCAGATCTATCACTTGAATCACACCCCCAGCCCTAATGTCAGAATTGAATGTAATTGGAGGACATCCAACTGGTGTCTGCTGTCTGCTGCTGCATCCATGTTTGCTCGATGGATGGAGACCCTCCCTCCCCAACCATATGCCAGAAGAGTGTTGTGAGAGTATGCTGGGAGTTTGTTTTTTCTATTTACTATCAGATTCAGTTTTGCTATATGGGATTTCTCAGTTCCTTAAGATCCAGAAAGGTAGACTTAGACATCCTGTGGAAATCAAAGCCCTCTGTCAAATGCCTGCAAATTCTGGAGACGCTTGTAATCTCTTACTTATCTTCAAGTTTCTGCTTCCATGGGAGCTCTCTCTCTGTTCAGTGGAGAAACTGAAATTAAGCCTTTCCATAAAGCCTCTCCTACAATTTACTCATATAGAACATTTATGAAAGTAACAAAGTAAGCCCTGGACTGTTCATTCTGCCAACTTAATTTTATTACAGCATCAACCCACTTATGCACACAGTTGACTCTTGAACAACAAGGGTTGGAACTGTGTGAGTCCATTTATATGTGGAAAGTTTATTTGTTTGTTTTTGTGGTACTATAATTTGAACTCAGGGCCTCACAATTGCTAGGCAGGCCCTCTAGCACTTGAGCCACTTTGCCAGCCCTTTTTTATGCTGGGTGTTTTGGAGATATGGTCTCCTGAACTGTTTGCCCAAGATGGCTTAGAACTGTCATCCTCCTGATCTCTGCCTCCTGAGTAGCTAGGATTACAGGCATGAACCACCAGTGCCTGCTTGTTTTATTTATTTATTTTTTAGAAATTCAACAATTTGAAGAAAGTCAGACAAATCATGTAACTTAGAAATATTAAAAAATAGTAAGAAAAAAACATATGCCATGAATGCATAAAATAAATGCAGATAATAGTCTATTTCTACAATTTACTATTATGAAATATTTCCAAATGTATTATAAAGATTCTAATTTATCAACATGTATGCAAACACTGACCTTCCTTGGCTCCATTTTCAGTAGAGAGGAATGTATTTGAAGATAAAATGTTATCAGATCTGGGAGGGTTAGCTCACTGGTAGAGCACGTGCTCAGCATGTTGAGGCTCAGTACCAAAAAGAAAAAAAAGCAGCTTTAAATCATAACTGCATGAAGTTAACTGTAGTAATACTGTACTGCTGTAGGAGCTTTGTAGCCACTTCCTCTTGCATTAGGGTAAGCCAGGTGTTGTGAGTACTCCTATGATGCTAATCTAAATTCCTCATTCTAACAAATCACACCCAGAGTAACAGTGCTCTCTCCCAGTTCTCTTGTATTTTTCACTGTATACAATATATACAATGTACAAAATATGCGTTATTCTGCTGTTTATGTTATCGTAATCTTTCTAATCAACAGCAGGTTCTTAGTAGTTATGTTTTGGGGAATCAAAGTTTTATTTGGATTTTCTACTGCATGGAGGTCTGTGCCTCTAATCCTATCTTGTTGCAGGGTCAAATGGACTTATTTTTCTTCTGCTTATATAAACAGGTACT